AGCCGGGGGCCCCCCCCCCCCTTCCCTTGAGGGGGAAACCTCGGGAGGGGGGGGGCCCCCGGGAAGGGGAAGCTTGGGGGCCCCCCCGCCTTGTTTGGGGGCCCCCGAGGAGGAGCCGAGCGAGGAGTGGGAGGCGGAGCTGCCTGCTGCTGCTGCCGCTGCTGCTGCTGCTGCTGCAGTGCCGGACTACGGGGCCCTTTACCGGGCAGTGAAGAGGGTTTGGGAAACTCCGCTGCTGCAGCGGCACTTGGAGTTAAGTATGGAGAGAGAAGAGCTGCTGCACTTGTGGCAGGCAAAGAAAGACAGGAGTTTGCGGCGCTGCAACAGCTACTTCTTGTCGCGCAGGCCTTCTGCTGCTGCTGCTGCTGCTGCTGGCTGCCCGCAGCAGCAGCAGCAGGAGGGGAGCCCGCTGGTGCCGCCCTCGCCCACTTTGCTGTTTCCTGGAAGCAGCAAAGAGGCCCTCCGGGGCACTTCTGCTTCGGCGTCGACGACGCCGCCGCCTGCTGCAGCTTCTGCTGCTGCTGCTGCAGCAGCAACGCCGGCTGCCGCGGCGGCGCTGGGCGCGGCGGAGACGCCCGCGGCTGCTGCTGCAGCAGGGGGCCCCGGGGGCCCCGGGGGCCCCTGTCTCTCGCTGCTGTCGCACAGCTTCTACTCAGCAGCAGCAGGAAAGTGCTTCTTGGAGTTCCAGGCCATGGGGGCCGAGCTGCTGACGCTGCAGCTGCTGCTGCAGGAGCGGGCGGACTGCTGCTTCTCGGGTGTACAGACACCCGGCGTGGTGGAGCGCGCGGGGGCCGTGCTGCAGCAGTACGTGGCGCAGGCTGCTGCGATCCGGGACAGTTTGTGGGGTGTTTACCTGCGGTGTACGTACACCCCGGAGGGGCCCCTTTTCTCCAGAAACCCCCAACTGAACTCCAAGTACTTGTGGGGTTTGCGGCGGCTGGTGGGGGCTGGGGTGTACGCGCAGCAGGAGATGCAGCAGTTCGTGAGTTTCACGCGCAGCACGGCGCTGCAGCAGCAGCAGCAGGCCGCAGCAGCAGCAGCAGCAGCCAGCAGCAGCAGAACCAAGCGCCTCGCGCTCCTCAGACGCACTTCTGCAGAAGCTTTAATTCCTTTCGAAGTTTATCTTGTCTTTGCCCCTCCTGCATGCGGCTTCGCGCAAAGCCCCAAGCCCACTGCGCGGGCGCGCCAGGCGCCCCCCAGCGCTCTCTTTGCTGCTGCTCTCAGAGCAGCAGCAGCAGCAGCTGCTGCTGCTGCTGCTGCTGCGGCGAAGAAGGCGGCGCCTGGCGCTGCGGCGGCGGCCGCAGACAGGGACGACGCCGCCGGAGCAGCGGCAGCAGCTGCTGCTCCTCCTGCCGCAGGCCCCGCGGAAGCAGCAGCAGCAGCAGCGACGCCAAGAGCAGCAGCAGCAGCGACGCCAGCAGCAGCAGCAGCAGCAACGGCGGAGACGGAGAAGCAGCTGGGCGCGCTGCGGCTCACAGACGCGGAAGGAACTGAAGGCAAATGAATTGGCATTTTCGATCAAATAAAACTTCTTTAAATAAATAAAACTGCTTAAAATAAATAAAACTTCTCAACATTAATTGTACTTAAATGCAGCAGCTGCTGCACGGGACTGCAGCAGCTGCAGCACGGGACTGCAGCAGCTGCAGCACGGAACTGCAGCAGCTGCAGCACCTCCTGTCTGCACACCGCAACTTCCAGGTGTACGTACACCGCGTGTCAGTTCTGGCCACATTCCTGACAGGCCATGCATGCATGCATGCATGCATGCATGCATGCATGCATGCTTGCATGCTTGCATGCAAGCATTCGAGGCCTGCATGCATGCGTTCCAGGTGTGCACGCATGCATGCATGCATGCAGTCGAGCCCCGCTTGCATGCATGCATGCATGCATGCATGCAAGCAGAGGCTGCGCTGCAGGCCTTTTTGCTGCTGCGGCGCATGAGGGTATGCGTATAATGAATATCTGCTTGTATATCTTTACCCCGTGTAAAACAAATATAATATATTAAATATACAATAAATATATAATAAATATAATGTATATAATGTACATAATGTATATAATAACTGCACTTTATTTAATATATGAAATATATGTAATGCGCACAAATATATTTCGTTTTATAAATGCAACGCTTTTATGTAAACAGCAGTTTTATAATAAATAAACTAAATGTGTAAATGGGGCTTTATAGGCGTTTTTTATTATTATAGATATAATATATTCATTATATGATATATTATATGAATGATGCCATATAAACCTAATATATACATTATGTATATGTTTATATTTAAGTCGAAGTATAATTCTAAAATATATTATATATATGTCTCGGCTGTCTGTACACCAGAATGGTTTTGGGGCGTGCATGCGTACACTGTACACACGCGCATTTTCTGTAATATAATTAAGTGCAAATAAATGCAAATAAATATAAATAAATACAAATAAATATGAATAAATATAAATAAAGACAAATAAATGAAAACAAACAAATGCAAATGAATGGGAGTTTTATGCTTTTATTAAGTTGTGTATATAGATAGCAATGCACACGGTGTATAGCCACTGTGTGTGTTTACTTCATTTATATATATTTATATTTATACATATATTTGTATATTTACATGTATAATATATTTATATATACAGCTCTGTATATAAATATATTTCTACATATATTCATATATGTATATATCATATATATATATATATATATGATATATATATATATCATATATATATATATATAATATATATATATTATATTCATACATATATTTATATATAATGTATACATCATACATATATATATATGTATAATATATTTATATATACAGCTGTATACATAAATGTATTTATACATATATTTATATAATGTATACGTATATATGTATATGTGTGTGTGTGTATATTTATATATACAATAAAAATGGAGTAAAAAGCATATATATACATAACAAATCAGGAAGAAAAAAAAATATATATATGCATATATATACAACACATGTATATATATATATATATATCAAATACGGAAAAGAAGTATATGGTATATATATATGTATATATATATATTTCATATATATATACACATACATATATGTATATATCTACGAAGATAAGACTACGGAGTTCTTTGGGCCGGGCTTTGGCTGGGGCTCCGAAGGGCTTTTCCATTTTCAGCTCTGCATGCGCATGCAGAGCTGCTGAAGTTTGCTGCATGCAGAGCACATGCATGCAGATTGCAAGCATGCAGAGCGCATGCATGCAGCGGCCAGAAAGAGCCGGACCAGACCAGTGGTCCAGTGCAGCGCAGGCGCATGCACTCTTTGGCTGCGGTGTATGGACAGCGCAGGGGGCAAAGTGCTCAGAGTCTTTTGGCGGACAGTCTGTCTGCCAGAAGAACCGAAGTTGAGCCAAATGCATGCAGAAAACAGCAAATAATGCATGCAAAGGAGAAGGTAAATGCATGCCGAAAGCAGCAAATAAATGCATGCAGGAAGGAGGAAATAAGCGCATGCAAGTTGGTGAATAAATGCATGCGAAGGAGGGAATAAACGCATGCGGAGGAGTGAATAAACGCATGCACAAAAGGCCTGCATGCGCGCATGCGTGGCCCCGGGCGCTTTCCACCTAGTCTATGATAATTATATCTTTTCGAATTTATTTATATTTATTTTTATCATCGTCTCAAGAAATGCAGGTCGCTGCATGCTTGTGGTGTCTGGACACCACCCATGCACGCTGCGCGGGCTGGTTGAGGTGTACGTACACCCCAACGGGAACGAACACAAAACTGCACTTTTCCACTTCAGCCTTTTTGGGGCTTTTGTTCCTCTCAAAGCAGAGGGACTCGAACGCTGTCCCTTCTTTTTTTGCCTAACCACTAAACCCTAAACCCTAAACCCTTGACGCAGGCAGCTGCGGGCGGGCGAGCTCCCGAGGAAACCTTGCCGCCACGCCCAAGACGCCGCAAACCCTAAACCCTAAACCCTCTGGCTCGGCCTGACTCTAAAAATCCGCGTTGAGGCCCAGAGGCCCCTTGTGTTTTTGCAGCACTGCTGCTGCAGGCACTGAAGCAGCAGCAGCAGCAGCAGCAACAGCAGCAGCTGCTGCTGCAGCCGCTGCTGCTAGCCCGCAAAGCCGCTCGCGGTGTACCTACACCCGAGCGGCCCCCACCCCACAAGTTGCATGCAGCAGCAGATGATGGCAGCAGTTATGCCATTAGACTAAATAAGTCTATTTGAATGAATAAAGATGCAAAAAAGTGAATATACATTTATATTACATGCTTAATTCCAAATAAGTGCAAATATCCTGCATATTATTTCCCGAACTTTTCCTTTTTGTGCATTTATTCATTTTTTCTGGAATACACTTTTGCATTCATGCTTTATATCCAGGAGAAGCAAAAGCTGACTGCAGCAGCTCAAAGCCTGATTCACTTTTGAATATATTTCGGCACATTTGCACATCTCAATTTGCACATATTTACGAATATTTGAACACATTTGAGGATACTTGCATGCAATAATTAAGGGTATTTGCATGCATTGCATGCAACTACTGTGGGTATTTGCATGCACTTAAGGACACTTGCACATATTTCGAGGCATTTGGACCTAATTGTGAGTACTGCATGCGCCTGGGGCCCCTTGCAAAAAGCACTGTACGTACACCGCAGTTTACGTACACCGCGCGCAGTGTACATACACCGCCTTCGGGTGTACGTACACCGCAGTCAGGCGTCCACGCCCGTCAGCAGCCGCGCGTACTTCTCGTCGCTGATTTTTTTGGTTTTGTGAAGATGCTTTAAGTGCTGTCGATAAAAGAAAGTGGTCCGGCTCGGCTTCGAGCTGTAGTCTTGCTGGCCTGCCCAGGTGCAGGCTGCGGCCCCTGCGGCGTGCAGAAAGTTGCAAAAAATTCAAAAATGAAGTTAAGACCCAAACACTCAACTGCATGCAGGTTTGAAGCAATTGGTGGCATTTTTTGTTCAAAAAAGAAATTAAATGCGCAAAAAAGCGAGAAAATTCAAAAAATTCCAGTTGAATCGCATGCAGCATGTCCTGACAAGCTGTTCAAATGGCTGGAAAGCGTCAAGATCTGAAGCACCAAAACACTAATATTCATTCCAATTTAATTTTCAATTTAATTCAGAAAGGTAAAACGCAAGAAAGTCGTTTAAATGCAGCTTTGCAGTGCTTGGAAACGCGGCGTGAGTCCGCAGTGGCAAAAGCGGTAGTCTTAAGGAATCGGGGCAGAAACAGGAGTAAAAAACAAATTAAAATGGGGTTATAGCACATCAATTGAAAGCAAATGAAAAGACGCATTCATCTGTGAAGAAAGAAAACAAAAGGACGAGAAAAGTGGCGAAAAAAACGGAGAAGAATGATTCGGGAACTGTGCGGAACAGGGTGTGCGTTTCAGGTGTACAGACAGACCTAGGCCGAACGCCGCCGTGCAGTAAAGCCGCATCCACCTCACTTTATCGTGTGAAAGTCGGGGAAACAATTTCCAAAGGACTCTTTGCGAAGTAAATATCATTTTGGGAGCAAGTTACGCGGAGTTCCGCTCAAAAGAAAGAAAAACGGCCAGAAGCGGCAAAACGCGCAAAACTGCCCCTCTTCGCGAATTTCGCGGTTTAATTCAAAGAAAACTTCAAAACTTTTGCAAATGTATTTACTTCAGAATCCCTCAAATCCAATTCAACTCCAAACGCTGTCACCGACAGCCCAGCCAATCTGCGGCGCATGCAGCCAGCCATCCACTGCGTTGTTTACTTTTCTACTTTTCGGCTTTTTGCCCTTTTGCTGGCTTCCCACGAGGCTACTGCGGGCTGATTAGTTATTTAAATACGTTTTTAGAAATTAAATGATGTTAAATACTTAATCAGTTGCCTTTTTAAAGTTGTTACTCTCTGCAAATGTCTACAGCTGCGAGGCGAGTTCAGCAGCTCGGGTGTATGTACAGCTCACGCTGCAGGAGCAGTTTAGTAAAGTTGACATTTTTGCTCAAATTAATTAATCCTTTAGGCTTCAATTCGTCAATCTATTAGACACCAATTAGTCCATTTGTAGACAACATTTGCAGCAGGAAGCCGCAATAATTGTTCAGAACGAGCCCCGCGGCGTCTGCATTCTGCGGTGTACGTACACCGCGCGAGCTGCTGCACAGCGCCACCAGGGTGTACTCGCACCTCGTGGAGTGTACGTGCAGCTTTTGAGCTGCCGATACACCCCGTGAGATGTCCTGAACACCTCGTGGAGTGTGAGTACACCTCGTGGCCCAAACATGCATGCACGCCGTGAGGTGCGAATACACCTCGCGGGTGTACAGACACCCGGCGAGTGTACGTAGACCCCAGATACGGCGCGGAGCCCCGCCCCACCTGGAAACAGTTTCTCAGTTAGCAGCAGCAGCAGCAGCAGCAGTTTGTAGCTTTAGAATCAGAGCAGCAGCAGCAGCAGCTCCCCTGTCTTTGTTCGTTTATTTCAAAACATTGGGTTTTTTGGTGCTTTATTTTGGCGCTCTGCAGCACAGCTCCCATTAAACAAAAATAAAACATAAGTGCTGCTCTTGTTTGCAATTAGTCGAGTTTGGCCTGCAGACAGCAGCAGCTGCGGTGTACATACACCTGCTGCGGTGTACGTACACCTGCTGCGGTGTACGTACACCTGCTGCGGTGTACGTGCGCCTGCCGAGGTGTACGTACACCGCAGTTCCCAGCTGCCAGCAGGTCCACTTGGTGGAAGAGGCCACTTAACAAAAGTGGATTCTAAAAGACGAGATGAAGCAGAACCAAAACACAAAACTTGAAACAAAGTGAATTCTGAAAGTTGAAGATACTCCAGAAACAAAAGCACGAAACTTAAAACTAATTCGAGCTGTACGTACACCTGCACACGCCGCACACGCACTGCCCACAACGAACCTCCACCGCAGCGCGTCTACGCTGCAGCAGCAGCAGCTGCTGCTGCTGTTGCTTGTTGCTTGCTGCAGCAGCAGCAGCAGCAGCGGGTCCTCCCAAGCCTGTCGCTCGGCCGCTCCTGGCGGCGGGCAGCAGCAGCCGAGAGTCTCCCGAGCCACTGAAGAGATGAGGCCGAGTAAAACGCTTGCCTCTGCTGGCGCTGCAAGCTCTGCTGCTGCTGCTGCTGCTGCCGCTGCCGCTGCAGCAGCATCCCCACGGCCGCCGCGGCAGCAGCCCCCCCGCCCCGCCGCCCGCCGGCAGCAGCCGCTGCGCTGCTCCC